GGGGGGGGGCGGTTTCGGCTGATATAGTACAGTAGATGCAGGTAGATGCAGGTCGTCCTTTCGTTGGTAGTGTAGTGTAGTGTAGTGTAGTATACCGGTAATAGGTAGGGATGGGTTGGCTTGGGTTGGGTTGTGATGGGATTTGAACGGTGAGGTTCTGGCGCGGACTGGCGCCAGTCAGTCAGTCAGCCAGTCAGCCAGCCAGCTATAGTACTTAGCATTGATGAATCAGGAGAGGGAGAGAGGAAATCCCGGCTTGGATTGGCTTGGATTGGGTTGGCTTGGATAGGATAGGATAGGATAGGGATTCCACCTTACTGTAGCATCTCCTCCTCCTCCTCCAGCAGCAGCAGCAGCAGCAGCAGCAGCAGCCGCCGAGCCCGAGAAAGCCTGAAACTGCAACGGGCTCAGCTCAGCCCGGCTCGCTTCCGGGCCTCTTCCCCATTGCTGCGACGAGACAAGCCTCGAGTAGGTAGGAAGCTTGCATCAGTTCGGTTCAATCGCTTTTCCTCTTCCTCTTCCATTTCTTTTCTGACTTTGATTCTGACTCTGACTTTGACTTTGATTTTGATTCTGATTCTGACTTTGATTCTGACTCGGACTCCCCAGACGATTTATATATATATATATATATCTCTTCTCTTTCCTTTCCCTAAGCGATTCGCTCAGAGGCCTTGGGATGGGCACACGAGTAAATACGTAGTACGTAGTACGGTATGCGAAGTGTCTATCCCTGAGGGAAGGGGAAGGGGAAGGGGAGTTTCGAAATGCGAAGTGTGGGTTTTGTAGTTTTGTAGTAGGTAAGGTCGGTCGGTCGGTCTGAAACGCGATCCGATGTTCTTTTTTTNTTTTTTTTTTTTTTTTTTTCCCCTTTGGTGGAACTTGGAACTTGGAACTTGGAACGGGGGAGATGGAGATGAAGCATGTCAGGCAAAGCAAGGCAAGGCAAGGCAAAGCAAGGCAAAGCAAGGCAAAGCAAGGCAAAGCAAGGCAAAGCAAGAGTCGGAAAGGGAAGGGAGGAGAGGAGTGGTGAGAAGGGGGGTGAGGTTCATATCATATAAGCCTTGATGGTGCACGTTGACGCTGGTTATCCGGTTGTTTGCTCGCTCGGCGCTTCGCTTTTTTTTTCCCGCTCTCGATTCTTCCGATCCTTTTATCTGAATTGAATCTTTTTTCTCTCCTTCTTCTTCTTCTTCTTCTCCTTCTTCTTTTATTTTAAATATATTTTGGGGACGAGGGAAATGATTTGATGATAAGGAGAGTCCCGCTGGCGGAATCTTTTACTACGAACGACGACGAAGAAGAAGACTACTACTACTACTACTACTACACTACCACCTTCACTATCCCGTATCCCTTCGATCAACATGCCCGCTCTCGACCCGCAGCTGGTTCAGGCGCTAGCCGAGCGCAGCGTGCACCTCGTGGCCCGGCAGCTGCAGCAGCATGAGATACTGGAGGCGACCATCGTCTGTAAGTCACATCGCTACCTCCACCTCACGTTCTGTAGGTCGCTCGCTGGTTTGGTTGGGATGGGGGATTTCTTTCGTCTTTCTTTCTTTTCTTTCTTTTTTCTTTCTTTTTCTTTCTTTTTCTTCTTCTTCTTTTTTTCTTCTTTTTTTTTTGACCCGGTGCGCCATCTAGTATTCGTCTCGGTCTTTGGGGTGGGAGGCGCTATCGTCTATGCGAATAAGAAGCTGTGAGCGAGCTCGTTGATCGGACTCGATGGCGATATCGATCGATGCGTGCGCATGCATATCTATATATCTGTATACCCCAGCGCGGCGGAGGCGACGACGGCGTCTCCAGCCTACGGACGGACGGGTGGTTATCGAGAAGCGAGCGGGCGAGCGAGCGACGGTGTTTCTTTGCTTGGGTTTGGGCTGGGGGAGAAGGGATGGGACTGGGTGGAGGCCCTGGGAGATGTGTAATCAATGGGAGGGAAAATGGAGTGGGAATAGTTGTCCACGGGGGCTGTCAACGGGAGATGGGGATGGGGATGGTAATTAATGTATTTGTATCGCAGAGAGCGAGAGAGGGAGAGAGATGGGCAGACAGATACCGAACATGTGAGGTTTACTGGGAGGCAGTTGAAGCTGGGCAAGGGATATATCCCTACCAGGCCACAGGATGATGATAACCGGGACCTGTCAATCGATATGAACTGTTTTGCGATCACGCCGTGTTTGCTATATATATATATGATGCATGTATCTCTACATCCGGGCTATATCGATGTTCATGCGATTGAATCAACCCCCTTTTTCTAATCATGTTGCCGAAATTGTTGACGCATTAACCGAGATCAGAGACTTGAGGATGCGGCCCAGATGCGGGCTGACGTCGGTCATGGGGGCGGGAAATTTTCTTGGATTGTGAACTTCGAAGGATGGCAGAGTGATAAGTGAGTCTTTTTATATCTCCTACGACTTAACTACGGCGACGTGTCTCCTTTTTCATCTCTTCATCTTTCTTCTCTTCGCGAGCCATCCATCATCAGTGCTGCCTCCAGTCTGGCTGCCTCGCTCGAGACTCAGCGACATCTGTCGACCACAATATAAGCATTACTCCCGCACAGATCACTTGTCACCACAACGCAGACGCAACCCCAGATTCAAGACACCAAACCTCAGACGAAAAGCAAGAAGAGACGACCATGTGTCTCTTCTCCGCCCCCGCGAAGAAGCACCACCGCCGCTCCTACGTCGAGGAAGTCTACGTCGCGCCGCGTCCCGTGTCCCGACACTCGCACCGCTCGCACCACGCGCACCACCACCACCCGGGCGGCGGGCCCGGGAGGTCGTCGTACACGTCGGTGACGCGGACGAGTACTCACCGACCCGTCAGCCGGAGCCGAGAGTACGTTGCTACGGGCCCGAGGGTGAGCCAGAGTTCGTATCGACAGCACGGCCGCGCGCCGGTGATCGTCGAGCAGCGGAGGAGCACGCGGTCGTATCGATAGGATAGATCGATCGGATGAGAAAGGGGGCTGGGTCGGAGGTTCGACGCTTGGCCGCTGGTGTGGGTTGGAGTAGTCGCGCCGTGGGGGTTGAGTGGAGGAGGATCGCGAGTGGGATAGGAAAGGGTCACGTATGCAGGACCCGTGGTCACTGGCGTTGGAATCTCTGCTGGGGGTAAAGGTGGCGGGAGGGTTGAGTATTTGGATAGGTATTACGTATCTTCACGGATGCTTTGGCGGTTAATCGAGTGTTGCTATTAGGAGTATATAGTATGTAGCGAATGGACCATCTGATTCGGATCGCCGACCGGTTTCCACGCATCTGCCAATATAGATATCTCACGCAAGAGCAGCAGGATTGCCTGCTCTGGGTGAAACCAATCCTTTTCCCCGGCATTCACAAACACGACCGCGGAGTATTTGGACATCTTGTGTAAAATAAAGATAAGCGAGCCTGAATATTGACAATCAACCATGCGTGCAGCACATTCATTCTGCTTCTCAATATTCCTCTACGCCGCGCGGCGCTAGAAATAGACGCCCGCTTTGACCCACGATCACGCGTGTACTCCGTGTTCCCCAAGTTGTCGGTCGCCTGCCAGGATTTAATATCTTCAAAACGTACTGTATACGGTGTATGCGTGCCTCGCTAAGCCTCGATGTTGACCCGCAAACGCAACCGAAGAAAGGGGGGGGGGTATCGATCACGTGGCGAGCTCCAAATTTGCAAAGTTCCTCGAATCCCAATCCGGCGTTTCAAGTTTCAAAGGAATTGATTTTCTTGTTCGGTCCATTACTCCAGATCCACCTGTCCTTTGAAATTCCGGATGCGTGATGAGGCTCATAACTCTGCTGTATGATCGCCTGCCCTGGTTCTAGCGTGGCTACGTCACTATCCCTGTGGCCATCAACGCCCCACCCCCCACCCAGATCGACCTTGAGATGCTCCGTACAGCATCTTGATTACTTTCTGAAAAGTATATCCTCAAATCCCAACCTTTATCCGTACCTGATCCCTGATCAATACTCCCGACACCAGTACATACCACCGTCCATAAGGTTTGACCTCTCCCCCTCCCCCTCTCCCTCTCCATCTTCTCGTCTCTCGCGATCGCGGTCGCCGTTCTGATAACGCGGCGGAAGCTGCGACGCGCCAGCGGCAACATCGATGCAAAGGCAAGAGCTGAACATGTCTTTAGAAAACCCAACTCTCCTCCCCAGCATCGCATTCCACAATCCATCAAAATGTAAGCCAAACTTCTCCAGTCCAGCTCGCCATCATGCCGCCTCCATGGCAGATGCGCCGGGGGAACTCCCAGCGGAAGGAGAACCGGAACAAGGACAAGAACCACAGTCCTTTGAAGCACCTGTTGGGCCTCTCCACCCTCCGAAGTCCTCACTATCGGCGAATGCGCACTGATGCAGTGCCTAGGAATCGCGCACTCTCAATCCGCTCGAATAAGAACAGCGGCTCTGCGACCAGTCCCCGCCACCATACCTTCAGCTTCGCATCCCTTCGCGGCACCGCCCAGCCCGAACTCAGTAAGAAGCTCTACAAGCTGATCAAATCCGAGAACCACCTGATCCAGAGCTACGAGAACGCCGGCAAAGAGCGTCTCTCCATCGCCAGCCAGCTGTCCGACTGGGGTGAGGGCACCAACGACGATGCCATCAGCGACGTCTCGGACAAGATTGGCGTTCTGCTGTCAGAGCTGGGCGAACAGGAGGATGCGTATGCGCACAACATCGACGACAGCAGGGCTATTCTGAAGGCGATCCGCAACACGGAGAAGAGCGTGCAGCCAAGCAGGGACCACAAGGCGAAACTCACCGACGAGATTGCGAAGTTGAAGGTCAAGGAGCCAGAGAGTGCGAAATTGACAATCCTGGAGCAGGAGCTGGTCCGGGCTGAGGCCGAGAACCTGGTTGCTGAAGCTCAGTTGACCAATGTTGTATGTTCACCCACCTGATCCGGGGCGAGAGGAGAATGCTGACACTCCCCCAGACGAGACAGAAGTTGAAGGAAGCCTACGCTGCGGAATTCGCTGCCACCATCGAGCGTGCCGAGAAGCAGATCATCCTCGCGCGCCACGGCCGCCGTCTCCTCAACCTCCTCGACGATACGCCCGTCATCCCCGGTGACGTCCGGCCCGCTTACGAGCATAGCAACCAAGCCCGCCAGATCCTGAACGACGCCGAAGATGACCTCAAGGACTGGCAACCCGAACTCGAGGACGTCCCGTCACAGTCCGGAAACGTTGAGGGGAGTTTGATGCATAGCTCGGTGAGCCAGCACGGCACGACCGTCGCAGGAAGTGCTGCTGGCGATGAAAGTGTTGTTCACCACCAGCCCTCGGATGTGGTTGGTGTTGAGGCGAGTCGGGTTAGCAGTGGAACTGATAATTCGGTTGCGACTGGACACGCTGGGCGCGCTTATCAGATTAGTGAGGCCGAGAATTCGCAGGTTGCCTAGATGGGATGAGGTGACGGATAGGGAGTCGCTTGTAGGATGGAACTGGGGAGGTAACCTTCGAGAGCGTAGTGCTTTGCTTGGCTAAGGTAATTTGCCTTTTCTGGTTCTTTGGTTTGGAATCCGATGACGTTATGATACTCAGGTAATGACTAATGTAATATTTTTTTGTTCCTTTGATTTGTTCTCGCTATCAGATGCAGATTATCAGGCAGGTTTATCCCTCTTCTCCCTGATTGCAAGCCTATTTCCCATCACACCCGCGTTTGTGAAAACACGAGTCTGAGAGGGCCGAATCCCGTTCCGGACAGCTCTTTCGAACCGCTTCATCTACTGTTCTACTGTTCTGTTCGATGTCCCGCCTCGATCCCGTTCCGGAAAAATCGAGAAGACGAGTTTTTGGGTTTTTGGGGATTTGGGATTTGGAACACGAGACTTGGAGACTTGGAGACTTGGAGACTTGGAGACTTGGAGACTTGGAGACTTAGAAGCTGCTCAACTCACGTGTGAGATGTTCGAACGTGGTACCTAGCGGCTCTGCTGCTGTGCTGGGTAGATAGATAGAGTGGGTGGGGGGGTATTTGGGGGGGGGGGGGGTGGGGGGAGGGTGGG